TAATAACTCACTGAGCTGTCCAAACCGAGTGTGAGTAGCATGAGGAAGAATACAATAGACCAGAACACCGAACCCGGTAATGTGGATAAAGCCTCCGGATAAACGCTGAATACCAAGACGGGATCTGTGATAGAACGAGCAAGCAAACAATCGGGCGAGTGAATGTCTCTCCACGTCATTTCATTTTCAAAGCGAACTGTGGAAACATTCACCAGCTGTTCCAAAAGCACTGATAGCGGATAAAAGAGTAAACCCAAAGCTGAATAAGCGAAATTGAAGGCATCTGTCCTGTCATAAAATAGCTCACGAAGGATAGGGTTTTAAAATAACTGACAGAAGTAATTTTTTCATTTGTCAAACTGGTTACGGAATCTTACTCAATGATTGACTTACTCCTTGTGCAGAGTCAATGTGTAATAAAAAGTTGGTAACAAGGCTTGAAATTACTTCATACACCACTTATTCATCCTTGTTAGAAACGTTCAGCGGTGCGAATCACTTAGAGCTCCTACACGAGAAGATACTGTGGGTAAGGTCTTTGGATTTCATACAACGTTTCCCTGGATGAAGCGGTTGCACGAGGCTTCTAAAGCATTTTATTGGTTTAGGTGACTGACTCGGCATGACCAGGTCAACTAGCTCTACCTTTCTGTTATTTTAAAGCAACCAAATTTAAGATTCAAAGCCTTAGACTAATGGAGAATCTATCAAGCCTATTTGCGAGATAATGTTTGATTTGGCGAACAAGTACGGCTTTGGAAGTTCACATTTTCTTGATCCGCTCACCCTTTCTCTACCAGCTACTCTGGTTTTGCTCTATGACCTCCCGAATTATGGGGTAAGTCAGACATCATTCGCATGTCTCTTGCCGTGTTATATAGCACGAGCAAACTCGTTAAATAATTCCCGAGACCGCGTGCTTCGCTTGATCCTTTCAGTTACGAAGTTGTCGAACCTATGCAACCATAACTTTTAATGCGTAAATTGTAGTCGATCGAACCTTGTGAATCATTGCTACAAAATTATCGCCAGTTTGAGCAGCATACTCGTATATCCGTTGCAAGTTGCGTATAACACTTCGGATCGATCTGATAGATTATTTGTCGCAAAACAAAAACTGCATGCCATATGAGAGTGCTTTAGTTTTGAGGATTCCCGATTGGAGGGACGGCGATGTTCTATTGAACTGCCGTTCAAAAGCGATGATTTGAGCCTACACATACAACGGAGGGTTGTGGTGACTGCAGATTGCACATATTTTGCTGCAAGATAGGTAATTCGCTTCATAACAACCCAGATTCCGAAGCCCGAAGGGAAAACATATCTACAAAACCACAGGTATTCTATGAATTTCAATTTGGCTGTACAAGGATATACATCGGCAGAACAGATAGGCGGATGAGCACATGGTTGGCTGAACACATACCAGCATTAGTCGAATGCGAGTTAATGAAAATGAGGGCTACATAATCAACCAATCCGTTAATCCATTGGCCCAAAACGTATTCAATTGTTTGCCATCTGCTGCAGTCTGTCCATTGAGTACACCCGTTGGGGGGCATTGTTCCGGATTATTTACACAATTCCCAATGGACGGCTATGAAGTTTTGCAGAGAATATAGCGACTAAGCGAAAAATGGACTTACAGTGACACCAAAAGGAAGTAGGCATCAGTCTACCATTACCGTGGTAAACACGTAAGCAAGAAACTGTGCTGACATTTTGTAAGATCAATATTACTTTTGATACGTAATCTATCCCGTCTGCTACCAAAAGAACCAGATGAGAAGCAGCAACATGATTCCGGAATTAAGAGGAGCGTGATAGCAGTTTTGGGATCCTTTTAAGTTTAACTAGGGAACTACTTAACCTCCGTAGTTTGCCACACCATTCCACCGGTTTGAAACAAGCAGACCCAAAATTTCGACAGGCAAAAGTCGTCTGGATACATCGGTTAAATAAGCTAAAAAAAGCAATATGCCTTGAATGAAAGTTGATGTAGTGTTCTGGTAGTGTGTCCGGGGTTGTCTACATGTCTCACTTTAAAAATGTAAATTTTGAATCTCTTCGAAAGCTTCTCTGCATATAACAGTACCCACTTCCTGCTGCTGCGATCAAATGGCATCCGGTAAAAGGGCTTTGGCAACTTGAAAACTACGAATAATTTCCGAAGGATGGTGCACGCCAAAGAGAGAAAAAACACTGCAAGTCGGGGATACACTCAGTCGTATACTAGTAGGACTGCATTAGACTATATGAAACTGCCAACCCGATTTCAGTTTCTTTTTAATGCAAACCTCCAAAACACAACTCGCTTACCATCTTGTATTACATCCGATACTAGCAAACCGCGTCTGTTGGCCATGTAACCCAACATACTGAAAACAACGAATCCGGATAGCAAACTCGTCAGTGAATTGATTGTGGCCACGACGATCGCATCACTGGAGGACAAGGTAAAATGTGTAAGGAAATTAGCTGGGATTATTTAGTCTGTATGCATATGGACCGAATCGGTCACCTTAAGCCACGATTGCTGTACAAATTTTCGAGCAAAACTACATAGTTTACATGTGACAGAAATGTTTATGCTACCCGACAAAGAGCACTGGACAGCTGTTTTGTCCTGTTTGGGACTCCTCAGCAGTGCGTACTTTTTGCCTCCCTGTCAAGACTCGACCAGCGAACATTCGGGTTGGGAATTCAAACCCTTACCTCTGAGCTGAACGATCTTCCAACGAGTGAAACCGATACTCAAAACCATTAAGAGTGCCTGGTGCCTCTTAGACAATCGAATGGGCTAATCCAAGCTTGTTACTCTAAAAGGTATATAATCTTCTTTTGGCCGATTTTGAATTGACCTGGAAAAATCACGATCAGCTTATGTATCAGATGGTTCGTCTATACGAGAAACGACCCATAAAGATGCATACTTGATCAACACTACAAACATCAACCCGTCTATGTGCATAGCTTTGTAATCACTTGGTTCTATTTATTGGATTTTTTGGACTGGTCACCCTAAACATCAGGAAGATTGGTGTGGTTCTTTACCCTCCACCATAGAATAAATTCGCACCAAGATTTACATATAATCCAACTTGAACACTATCAATCGAATTACTGATTGTAATGGTGTTGAAGTGTGAGCTGATGACTAGTCCATCAAATTCTGTGCTAAATAATTGTTTAGAAAAGACGGAATGTAAAGGCACGGCGCCGAGTGTTTTTGAATTTCCAGATATATTAATTTAGTTGCTAGCGGGGCACAAATATGTGGCTTTATTGAGAATGGAAATTACCGGGAAAATATGCATAGTTATGCAACTAACACTGGTTTTGGGGTTTTGAATCCGCAATGCATAATGGCAGATTGCATTGATTTTGTGCTGAGTGATTTAATAAATGAATGCACGCATACATACAAATACTCATCGAAATCATGCTACGTGACTGTTAATACAGAAGCATTTTTCAGTTCCCAAAATTATAACTACGCACCGATAATTATGCGGGGAATGCAGTATAAATAAACGTTATTATAGAAAAATGTTTTTTTGGTGCAGAGTAATACCGTATATGTTCTTATGCATGAGGCCAGAAACGTAAGATATTGCCCGGAAAGGATCTAATGAAAGTCACGGTATTGAACGATTTCGAACATCATATGCACAAAAGGTACAATTTCACATGTTCATGAAATGGTTCTTATTTCACCAGTTATCAAGACATGATTGACAGACAAGAGGGTACAAGTGCCAATAATCCATCTCGCGCATCATTATAACAGATCCTACAATTGAAGGAACTATACAACAAATATTACATCACGTAACCAAGCTCATCCACCGTTGCACTATCGGCTCAATTGCGACCGGTCACAGGCAATACACTCCGAAGACAGATGATTGTCCTGTTTGATTTAAAAATTGAGCTGAATGTCTGGACACGACGAGTAAAAAAATTGAGGTAGAAAAATTTGTGGGTCGAAATTAAACGTGACTCCCCGGAATGCCAGTCGCAAAATACTTTCAATTATCTGACGAATTCTCGATGAAGCCACCTCTCTCGAGGATAGGGACAGATTGTAAAATGAATCCCCAAATGACTTCAGATACTAAATCAGAGAGACGGTGCTAATGCAAACACATAATAAACCCCATATTGTGCGATTGACGACAATCTACGTAAAAAAATAACAATCGTATAAGTTGTCAGACTATTTCGAATAATTTAAAGAAAAGTTGATTACCGTGGCATAAGGAAAACATTGCAGCTTAATTGCTTCAAGTCCTTCAATATGTTTGCAAATAATTTGTGCGAATACTAGATATACGGATGGGTTTTATCTATGTGAATATGCATGCAACGCTCTCCCCGTTTCAACTTTTGTTCACAAGATGAGTAGTAGATACACGAGTTTTATATCTTGGATTTTCTAACATAGCTGTCTGTTGATGATATATCCGAAAATGGATCTAGCTTTTGTTAGTAACCACGCATTCATCGAATTATGGTGTACATAGTACGAAATTCTTGAATACTTATGTGAAACATAAGTAGTATTTTAGTCTTTTGGTCCTTTTTAGTCTTTTACCATCTTCTAATGTAGCAAACGAACCAATCAGTAGAACTGAATCAGATCAAATAAGTAGCAAACACTGCCGAAGTTTGCTAAAGCTAGCTTCTGTCACACCGGGTTTCGTACCTTTTGACACCCCAACAGTTCTCTGTAACAAAAAAAAGTTGAAGTTTTACACGAACTGTGAATCACGAAACAGCAAACGGAGCATCATCTTGACCTACCGATATACGTTGTTATGAAATTCGTTATACGATGCATAAGCCATAAGCACTCCGAAACCGGGACCCAGGGAGAAAAACACTTGAGTCGCTGCATCCACCCACGGTTCTGCAGTTTTCAGCTTTTCCGCATTCGGTACGATATAGTAACGAATTCCGTCTATGGCACCGTCCAGAGACAAACCACGGCACAGGAGGATGAGCAGCACAACGTACGGGAAAATCGCTGTAAACCATACAACCTGAACGACGAGTGTGTGTGTGTGGAAAAAGAAACAGTAGTAGATTGTGCAGTTACTCTCAGAACGAACGATTGTGCAAACGTCTTCTTTCGAATGTTAACTCAAGTTGTGCGATCACTTTTGGCCTGGAGCACTTGTGGTGCTTTTGAGGCTACTTCGACAATTTCCTATCTGGGTGCAGAAGCGAAATAACAGATACATTTTATACTCACCTGCAAGCCTTGATTTGCGGAGTATATTCTCGGAAGAATTCACTACTGGAACTTACTTGTTCTCTACTACTCTGTTTTGGTAATATTTGAATAGTATGCGTTAGCTGTAAAAGATGTTCGGAACCGGTTGACAATACGTGTTGCCCAGGGGAAACCATAATAGGTAAAGGTTTATCAGTTTACAACCATCGACCACCAGTTTTAGTTGAAATTGTTCAGCTACCAAACTCTGTCAAATCATGCAAGAGCAAAGGAAAGAAGTAAACAGCCAAGAACTAAACGAAGTTAACAATGAAGAAGGTAGGAGAATCAGTAACGTTTTTCACCTGGATAGGTAAATTTTCAGCGTTTTACAAAGTGTCTATGAGCATGAGATTTACATAAAATACAATTAAAATAAACCAGACATCTGTTTCATTTCAACAACGAAAAAAATAGCCAATTCTGTGGTAAACCTTTTATTATCAACAAGGAACCGTGTGAGATATGGCGAAATAGAATAGCGGAATCGCAGAAATACCAGCGAATAAACGTTTGAACTTTGAGCTTTCTAACTTTATAGAGAAAGAATAGTTGTGTGGTGATATGATAGCAACGTATTTTACGGCTATTGGTTTTATTTTGAGCATGAACGGAGGGAAAACTATTGATGAGGGTTCTATTTTTTTCGTCGGCTAACAGGGGAAACACATTCAGCCTTTTATGGCGTCCAAGGAAAGATGAGGACCAGGGTAAAATATAACTTTTTCTTGGTATTTCCAAATATTCTTTAGATATGGTTACTTTACATCCTAGATCAGTAAAAAGAATGAGAAGGTAACATAACCGGGTAGGTTAATCACTGACAGTTCATTGAAGGAGCTTTGACTAATATCTCTCATTTCAAAGTAACCAAGAACAGACGTGCAAACCAGAATCAAGAATTCCTGGTTCCGCATGGGATATCCGGATAAGTTGGACACTGAGGTATATTAGGCACTTTGGACCCCATCCGAAGGGCGTATGATTCGAATAACCGGACACGGGCTCCAAATGGGTTGTGATTTTCACACTCCATTCCGCTGCATTAATAACCAAGCTAGCGGAAGGCTTCGGGTATAATTCCCTCGAGAAATCTCATCCGTTTTGATCTGGGCAACCTGATAGTACCCTGCCCACTAGAAAATTATCGACGAATGTTTTTCTTACGTAAACCATCCCACTTTCGAATGTGTCGATGGAGTAGGTTATCATAACACAAAATAGTTCCAGTCTCAACTAGCTGCCACACTCCGTCTCATCTGGTCTAAAACGATGAACTCCATAATGAATACCATTAACTGTGTTGAAGTGCTGCTTAACATAGATCAAAAATCAAGATTCACCTAAATCAGTATTTCAAATATCCTTGTCTTCCAGGTAATAATTCGTCTTCCCTTGTTGACTGCGTCAGCGAATCTGCTGTTAATCCCTCAATTTTCCGATTTTGTTCCCCAAAGCTTTTATTTTGGTAACGTTCCCAAAATTGCATCTCTAAACAGGGTAATCTATCACTCTCATCACTAGTCAAGGTCATAATAAACGCACGCACCGTATCATGCTACCAGCTATGTAATGTAATATGGTCCGATGATCCTCGCACTCTTGGGTGTTCCTTTCACTTCAAAAGCACTTCGGTAAACCACTGAAAGCTGAGCCTTTCGTTGGTCATACAAATGCATTAGCAAGTTAACCTAAGGCGGTCCAGCTCTCGGGGTCAGTGGATTCGCACAGTTGATGAAGTCGTTAAACGTGAACAAAGCAGCTATGCACCAGTGCTTCCAAGATTCTGAGTTCATGCTTTCTGTGCTATGGATTTAACAAAAGGCTTCGTAAGCATTATACAACGTAAACTGGTAACGAATGATCGCCATTAGTTATAATGTAAAAGGCAAGGGAAAGGTGAACTGAAAAACTGGGAGACACAAAGTGGCTGTTTAAAACCTGTTGATTATCCTCATCCTTACGACAGAGGCTTCGCAAGCAGGACAAATTCACACTTAACGCTGATTAATTTAATTTACATTTAACCAGATTCATTAGGTTTTTGCTTGGACCCACATATGAACCAGCTGTGTAAAACCATAAACAAAAATAAAAAACACTTAAGACTACTCATTAGTAGTAACTTAGAAATAATGCAATAATAAATGGCGAAGGACCAGTAGGTTTCATTCTGGTGACTACTTTCTTAACACAAATTGAATGCAACAGTAAAATCAATTAAATGGATTCGATTTCCAGTACTCCGTACGTTCACAACCAGTTTTCAAAACCGTGTTCCAATCTTCTTATCAAAGCACACTTCTCCTGATTTTGAAATCATTTCATTTCATTCAAGTCAAAGGTAAGGGTTATTTGGAGTTTCACCCATTCAACATTGTTAAAACCATACGGAAACGCAAGATTCAAACACCAGTTGGTTTATTACCTTTCCAGACGTGTGAATTCCTTTCCACAAACTGAAGTAACAAATGACCATGACTGCACAGAAGCAGACCAGCACTGGCCATTGGATTTGTCCAAGATTTTCCAAATTTGTGTCCGGTGTGCGTCCCAGAACGCGATTGCTTCAGGTAGAGCAAGTAAAACAACAAAATGTATATTATTGCATGATTTGAAGGGTAAAACCTGGCAGCAGTTTAGAAATAAGTGGAGGTACTTATGGAAGAACTTGCGCTAATGTTATGCATCAGAAAAGGAATTTTTTCACGCTTTTCACTTAAATAATTATCTTGAGGTAGGTATTCTGTTTCTTATAGTTCCATCCTCGTGGTCTTTGATTATAGTTGATAATTGTTTGTCATTTTTCAGCCAAATTATCATGCACAAATTGCAGCAGGTTAAATCAGTGATCGTCTATTGGCTCTTATAGAACGAGCCACCTTTGAGGCATTTATTCTGCACTGCAGAATCCCGGTGTGATGCTCCCACAATGAACGAAGAACGTAAATGTACCTCGGCCACCTTCTGGTTGATGAAGAAATAACAGATGTAATGCTGGTAAGATTCGATCATCTAACTTGGAAGCTGATTCAATTTTCTCAATTAACGGTTAGGTGCCAAAACACTGCTTATAGAAACATTGATAGAGTTTAACTAAAACCATCTGAAATTTAAAAATGCCATACTCATGAACTGAATATTAAAAGCGAAATTGAACTCTGACGGATATTTGGGGAGTTGTCAAAAAAGTGATCTCGGCAAACGTTTGACGGAGATTACATGAATATACTTCTAATCCCCCCGGTTTTGAAGAAAGTATTAAACATTGTTTCTGTTAGCTGGGGTGAACTGAAATCATATTCAGTTTTTCTTGCCGATCTGGGGAATGTGTGTGCAAACCTTTCGTCATCAGCTCAGGTGATATTTTTAGTGCTTGTAAAGTGGCAACGTCCTGCTAATATTCGTTGGCTTTTGTGCGTTCTTCCTCGATGACAATTCGTCCCCTGTTCCCTTTGGTTTTTAATCTGGTTCACCGTTGAAGTAGCGAGGAGACAGAGTAGAACACTTTTATTCCGTTCAGATTGCTGATTTCGGCCAGTTATCGCGTCACGGCTTGAAGAATTTTGCACCAATCGGTCCCTGAGTTGCAGGCCTGGTCAAAACACTCCGGAAAATTTCTTCAGGCTTTGCATCCTTTAAGAAATTCAGTAAACGGACACCGAGAAGTATATGCAAATGGGTGTTAGCGGAACACTGACACTTCAAAATCCCTGCAGATGTCACTTGGGTCAGTGATGAAACAGTTATAAACAAATTCCCAAATTCGGCAAACAGGGTAACATGAATTCATCCCAGTGTTCCAGACTAGTCATTATAAAAAAGTATCGAGGAGCATGCTATAACTTGGCATCAGAAAGAATTGAAAGGTTCCTGTATAAAATGAGTATACAAGGTTCACCTCAGAGGGCATACACTGAAGTTGGCACTCCAAAAGAGCCTTCTCGACTGCAGACGCCATTCATTTGCAGTCAGAGTTTGCAACACATGGAACTCTCTACCACCTAACGTGGTTTATGTGCCAACATTAGTAGCTTTCAAGCGTCAAGTTAATGATGCTCTGGCAAACATTATGTTTCAACACCCAACTACATAATATATTCTCCTGTGCTCGTCAAAAAGATGCCATTACGCGTTTACGTACATGGACTAACTGTGACTAACTGAAGTTGTGAATCGTGTTCCGAACCAAAGTGTAAACACCCTATGGTATTTCATAAGCGAAGTCTTTGTAAGTATTTTCCCATAATAAAAATTTGAATTTGAATTTATATCATTGCAAGTGTTCACAATTATGTCCGAAATCTGGCATGCTTTTAAGCAACGAGTAAAAACTGCCAAATTTTCATCGTGTGTTCATCGCACAGATGTAAAATGCTACATGGTTCTTTGCATTGTCATTTATTGTAATTCGGATTGTGTATTACAAACAGAGAAAACAGAAAAAGAGACACAGACCAAACCGTATTATGAGATTTGAAAAAGAATGTTCAACTTAGTCATGAGGAATGGCGGTCAAGCGGTTAAGGTCACCAACTTATCGCTCCGGAGGACATGTGTTCGAATTCTCCAACCTTTGCCCAACTTCCCCTATTTCTATACACAATAGACCTTCGATTTGCCGCTTTCCGCTTCCTGAAGACTGTTTGTATCATTACATATATGTTCAATAAAAGGAGGTAAAAAGAAGGAAACAATGAAAGAAAAGCTTTCGAAGTCAATGTTTTGACCATCTCCTTCCTTGGTAAGAGATTTTTCAATGTATACTTCCCAATCGAACACTGACTGCGAGAATAAAGCGAAACTGCTTCAACAAACTGATGTACATTCGAAGCCAAGTGCGGTTTGATTCCAATCGAACGAGAACATTCGTTACGTGTCGTCACTATTAGGTGAAATGAAACAGTTTAAATACAATACAGTCTTTGTTCAATCGATCGTATGATTGATTCGTCAGGTTTAATGAATGCCCATCCTCCACTTTACCAAGCATATTGCAGTGATTGCGTCTTTCACATCCCGGACCATTCATTACAATCTTATTCCGCAAATCAGTTACAATATGATTTGTAGATAAAACACCATTTTGTGCTCTATCTTCAGCGCTGTCGATATTACTTAAACTCAAGTAAGTAAAAATGAAAGTCTCTTGGTCAAATCCAATTCGTCACAAGAGCCACGGACGACAAATAGTTGAAGTGTTTGAAAAATTGCGCTGAAACTTATTTGTTTGAAATATATGCTGCTCGTGCAGATCGGTAAACTATTAGGCAAATTGATGTTTGCTTTGTAGTGAACGAAGTAAAGAAATAAATAAAATAAAACGAAATGGTAACTGGCAAAACATGAATTAATACGCAGTAGCAAAACAAATCACTGCATAAAAATAGTTCAGTTGGATAATTTATCATAGACTATTCCATCATTTCATTGCCTTTTCCCTAGGCTTATGGCTTTCTACTTGTTTTCTCCCTACTAAGACTACCTGCTTTATCAGGTTGAATGGAGATGACAAGTCTTGTTCTGTGGGGGAACGTTTGTTGACTTTAGGAAGGAAACTAACTATTCACATGCATAGAATTATTTTGAGATCAGTTCTGAAGCCTCTGGGTTGTTTGGAAATGTATAAAAATACATCAGGTAGTTCTGTTCAATTTACTTTGAGTAATAAATCCTGGGAGTCGCGTCTACAATCTTCTCTCGGCGTAATACTAGTTATGAGAAATACGAGGATTCATGCAATGTTTCCCGACATTGTTCCGGTAAAACCTGTTGGTGATTCACATACACAAAGCAAAGTTCGGTATGCACCAGTAAGGAAAAATTTTATGTTGTCCTTTTTACACGGAAAAAGGATTTTTACGAACTTACTTTTATTGATGAAGCAAAAGATGCCATCATAGAACTGCAGGATTAATTCTTTATAACTTGAAGCTTTCGGTTTGGAAAGAGCTAACTTCCAGTTATTGTTTCTCTAGTGTTTTGCAAAACAAGCGCATCCACTTTATACGATAGAATCCAAAAGTTTTTCCGCGTTTTTTGGTCAAAATACGGTGTCTAATGTGTAGTTGTGCGTGTGAACCGCTGATATGAATTTATATGGAAAATTATCCGAATGGATCCCTGGTGAAACTAAATCCATTCGAATTCATCTCACTGTAAACCAATAAAACTCGTTTCACCCATCAGAAGTGAAGTTGTCGAGTCAAGCATTAGAGCTACATGCTCCACGAGTACTGTTCAAGCAAGCGTGTCACCAGCCGAAACTCATTGTGTTATATAACTAGAGCGAATGTTCACCTGGCACATATTCAAATGTTTTTTTTTCAATAGATTGACCGATCGTTGCATGGATGGGCCGCACCAATCAATGATCAATATACCGTCACTTTTCAGTCAGGGAAGTAAGCAAACAGAGCCAGGCCAGAAGAGGACAGCAGACAGAGAACGACTGACTGTGCAATGCAAGTATGTAACTAGTAACTAGTAAATGGGGTGGGGGGAGAAACATACTTGAAAAACTCTTCCACGGGAAATGTGGCATTGGCATTGGCTAGAAATCGCTCAGACTTGGTCATGTTCACTTTGGTCGCGTTTACGGACAAATGGATGTCCGTGCAATTTACCGTGTTCCACTGGTTTCCACAACTCATCCAGGGCAGTTGTGAATTGAAAGAGATGCCCAAATAGTACAAGGACCAGGCAATGATCATGTTGTAAAACCAATCAGTGTAGAATGCGACGAGGACGACGCTGTATCCAACACCTGTGATAAATTTGGTTAGTCAGAGTTTGAAGGGCAGGGTAACCACAGAGAGGGGCGGATTGTATTTTTGTTGAAAATGAACCAGTGAAATTACTTACAGCAGCAATACAGAAAAGTTAGGGGGCTGGATTTATGCTATTGACGAGAAGTACAAGAAGTACAAGCGTGACCTGTGAACAGCTGCAATACAATTTGTCACCACCGTTTCATTTTAGAATTAATTGACCACATTGGCTAATATAGGCCAATTCGTTCAAACAGACAAAAGAATTCATGTAAAAATTCAAGGATGTTGTGATGAAAATTCATGCTGGGTTGTTTAGAGCGCCAGTCACTAGTCAACCACAGAAATACTCCCAAGACCAAAACTGCATTTGTGCCGGTTGGCAAACTACTCTCGGACGCAGTACTCCCATCAAGACGACTGTACCCACAATTGTGAGTAACAGTGTCTGTTCTTTGTTTGGGAAGACTCCGGATTTATCTTATCTGCTCCAGCGAAAGGAATTGTCTACCTCTTGTTTCTTGTGTCTCTAGAAGTTATGGCTCAATGATGATTTGGAAAATTCCGTGGTCCAGCTGGATAATTTCTTTTGCTTTTAACAAGATAAACAACGGGGCCAAAAGTGTGATTACTTACATCCACTTCAAGTAGTGTGGCTAGTCCAAAATACACTTCAAGTATTGACAAAGTGGCGGGGATTATTTGACTATCATCTGTTGCAACACTTTTCCAAATTCACCATCACCAATTTATACAGTGCCCTCCATTACCGGTTATTGACCATCTCTTGCTGACAGCTTGCACCTCATAGTGATTTTGACCACTCCCCCTGCATCTTTTATTCTGTATAAACCTTTGCGACACTGTTATGGAGCCCAATAGA